ATTGATAAGGGGTCAGTCGGTAAAGTAATCGAAGCATCGTCTCAGTACGGTTCTCCCCTCATTCGAAGCTAAAAAGGGGATCCAGATGCAGTGGTACCAAAACAAGGAACTTGTGGCTTTATGGAAGGAAAATATGAGTGCAAATACAACGAAATTCACTTTTCTACCATCTTTTATTTTAGCGCAAACTTTTAATTCGTACAAATCGAGCTTGTGGAAGGATATCCTAGTGGAACAATAGGATTACGATTTAAAAAGAATGCAAGTCATGAAAAAAGTTAGCGAAAAAAGCCAAAAACAAAAATTCTAGTGTCATTTGGTAGTCTATGGGTCATGCTACGGTGTGCTTGGTCCTTCTAGGAGCATGAGCGTGATTCCACTGCGAAGAAACATAGGAAAATTCTTGTTCATTGGTGTCCTAGTATGCTCCATCAACATTTCTGCTTCTCAAATTGAAAAGGGTACTCAAGATTGTCATGAATTGTGCTTTCAGAAGCATTCTCCTTAGACCGAAGGTAGTGCCAGAGTATAACCCCAACTCGACATGTCACATGGGATTTTCTTTCTTAACTTTCTGGACTGCCTAGGTCTCGACCGTTTCCGGAGGACCAAATGCACCAAAAAGTACGGTAGGGGATTCATTGTTGTACATTCTAGGCGATGAATAGCCTTTGAAGATGTAGGCAAACAACGGTAAACAAAGGTAAACAAAGAACAAGTCCAACAAAATAAAACGCAGCCTTTATTAAATTTTTTAAACAAATTCTTCGAAGGTGTACTTTTCAAAGTGTATCAGGACGATCACGAAATCAATGAGGAGATTAACGGACAACACAATTATATGTAATGATCGATCATATGGAACAACAGGGAATCTTAGGGACCAACAGGGAAACAGGGATATTAGACAAGTGTGGGAGTAGGATATGTATATACAAACGCTCGTTTGGGGACAAACGATAAAGTAAGGGTAATCATAACTCACAACATGTGTATTTTTGTGATATGAAATAAGGAATATACAGAATGTTCTGTGAAAAACTTAAGGACATAAACTGGAGAAGTAAGAGCTGAGTGACGAAGATCATAGTACTGGTGAAACCACTGCAGATCAATGTAGGATAATTGATAACCCTGAAATATTGATTCCTGAAGTTTGATTAAACAATTCTCGCGCTATATTTACAGATCAGAATACTCCTCACATCTTACATTCAAGAACTGCATATCGATTAGTGACGCGTAAAATCAATACCCATTCCAGAGCACGTGTCATAATTGATCAAGCTTATGGTTAGACATTAAACACTCCGTATGCCAGTACTTCGGAACAAACCTAATTCTTATCGTTCAGAAACCGCATCTCCTCCACGTTTGTAACAGGCGGCTTACCGGTTTCGATAATGTCTGGTGCTTTGATGCCTTTTAAGAACTTCTGTAAATTGTTTATTAGTAATTGAGTGTATTTATGAATCCATCATTGTCAAATATTGGCTCCGAAACAAAAGTTTCGGGAAGGAAGTTCTTGAACAAGGCAGTGTTATTGTGTACAGCTGAACTTGAGGTCTGACAGGGCGTTCTCAGCACTCCCTCTTTATCGTCCACTTTGCGGGAAAGTGTGAAGCCGGGTGCAGTAACCCATATCATTCAGTTATTGAATTTAAGGTGCGATCCTTCCAGACCGCTCTGAGCTATACTCCCCTTGATGTCCATCAGACCATATCTGGCTATCCTGAACGGGCTAGAACCCTCCACAAATAAGGGCTGGACTTGTGCTGATTCAACCACGTTTCTGGGTGAAAACCAAAGGCGTGAGCGCATCTCACAGACGTGTTTCATCTACATCAGAAAACTCTAACGATCATAGTCTCTCCCTGAAGCCAGCAAGATACAGAATATCACGATCCAATCTCATAGGAGATGACCAGGAAATATCTGATCAATTCTTCAGGTCGCATTTCCCGAAAGATTAAGGCTCTACACCACTTCACCAAAAGCTCCGTAACCCATTCCGAATCACGATTGTTTCGGGTTAAGGGCATTTGCGTGATTTCTACCTCGTAAATAATACTTTGAAAACCAACCGCTTTCATAGACAAATGCCTATTGGTGAATAGCATGTAGTATATAGCATAGCCAGGTATAACAACCATCGAACATGACGATAAAAAGAAGCCAAAGACATTCGCCCATATAGGATAGTCTTCTCCGGTTGGATATTTAATTGGACGATAGTAGATGAGACAGAAGAAGAACAGGACCTGCAAATACATAACATCATACAGTCATAGGATAAAGGGCAAAGGGGAGGATAAGTTTGGAAATGGATGAGAAAAGAGTTGAGCAATGCAATGCAAAGCTCAGGACCCTACGAGTAGGATTGATACTCACCGCACAAGTAGCTGGAGCAGCGTATTTCCAGATAAGAACCCATGGATAGCTGACTGTGATGCCTACCATTTCTTTGAGAGCAGCTCGAATTCGTTCAGCGCCTAAATACGAAAGCTCAATGATCCAATACTATTCCGATACTATTCATGGCTAACATAGTTCGAAAAATTCGTGCTAGCTGATTTTTGGGATGCGCCATACTCTTGATACTTATTTAGATTTGGAAAGGCACTCAACAGTACTTCTGCGTCATATAACGGCTACGAAAGCTCTGTTTTGTTCACATAACCGCTTTTACGCGCTCATTAGCCTCTAATATTAATTTTAGAATCCCATAACCTTGGTTGGTTTCGATGATCCACAAATAAAGGTAATGCTCACCGAATCCCCATGACAATCCGACAACCTCGAAAAATACGACAAACAGCAGGGCATAACCACTTGCACCGTATGTGTCAAGTAATTGCAACCAGTAAGCTCCGGCCTGAAAGTGAATACATATAGATCCTAAGCAGAGTGATGTAAAAAATCCCCCACTTACATTGGTCACCATAGGAATTCCTATGATGAAAAATATCAAACAGGTCACAGCTAGAGATACTTTCTTGTGTTTCCGAAGTATAAACGGAAATGTGTCCTCCAAAGCGGTAAACAAACCTTCCATCATGCATACCTTAACATTGGTTTTCGCGAAAAAGACCTCGTTGTATCCAGGGAAAGGCCAGAAGTTGTACCTGACTGTCCAAACCAAGAATGGTAATCATGAGGAAGAAGAGGCATGACCATAATTGCTTAGCTGGCAAATTACTGGCAACTTCTGGATACGCGAGGAAAGCCAGTCCGACTCCTTTGAAAGAAAAATCACTTAGAATTCAGCGTAACATACCAGCTGACAACCATTTACTGTCAGTCAGTATTTAGTACAGCACGATTAGCAACAGCTTTCAGAAAAAGAGCGGAAACCCTTAGAAAAGGTTGCTTTGCGAAAATGCGCACTCCCACTTTGGTTTCGTTCAGAGCGAGCGGTTGAACTGAAAGCGGTTCCAGCGAGTTGGCTTGCTTCTTTCTTACCACTGCTCTTATGCCGGTTGCTCTTCTTCATTTCAGTTCTTATCTCTTAGAACCATACCTTTCTGCTAAGAAGTTATGAAGGGGAAATTTACTGGCTATAATTTTATAGCTCTTATTCAAAAGGAAAGCGGAAGGATAGAATCAAGGGAGGAATTACTGATATTTTATGAGCCTTCGGTGCAGTACGTGAAGAACGGAACTGATAAATACCGAGCCCAAGATAGGTTATAAACTACTCGTCTAATGTTAGACATATGTAGCACAGACTTTGGAAGAGGTGCTGCTAGAGAAGAGCCAATTCTGCTTAATTTCTGGGAAACAAAAAAGAATACTGATGTCAAGCTTTCCGATAAAACTACCATCTCACCTGGTTTTACAATGTCTGCTATGTCTTTCTGTGCAACAACCGACATGTAGCCGAGAATAGAGAACACCGCGAAACCGGCAAGAATCGAGGTAGAGCCATTAATGACGCACATTATAAACCCGTCTCTGAATAATAAATCAATAAAGATGAAGAAGAACTACTTCACCGTTAGTCAATTGCGACGCCCTGCATTCGAATTCCGTTCAAAATCGTAGTATTGAATGCGCAGGTGGTCTATGCAATGACTTTTGTTGGCCATTCGATGTATAAATCAGTGCTTATAGCCTCCCAGAGGGTCTAGTATCAACTCACTGATCCCGAAGGGATGGAAGGCTTAGTTGGTATGCGAATAGATTGGTCCGGGACACAATCCCTAGTCCGTAATCACTCGGTACACCTGTCACCCTGACATTACTCCTATTATCCTTATCTTAGTACATTTGGTAAAATTACAATTTTATAAACTTTACTGAACTGCCCCTCATAAATATACATTTGGTTTTTCGAAAATAGCCTTCTCCCTCTTACATAACCTGATCTGGGTAAGAATACCGTATTCGACCTTATGATTTCGTCCGAAACGGTTGCCTTACCTAAAGCAGTTATGGTTGAATTTGTTGTGAGATCCGAGAGCAATGAGTGCACCGAAACCAACACCATATGAGTAGAATACCTAAAACCACCGTGAGAAGAAATTGGCATTCTCCACGATTAATACCTAAGATTTAACTAGGATTCCTTAGTGCTATCATTCCAACACCCGAAGGGCTAACTTGTTCTTTTCGTATTACCAACCTGGGTTCCGGCATCTTTCCACACTGTGGTGTCCAGTAGGCGAGTCATATTGGGTTTGAGGTAGTAGTATATACCTAAAATAAAGAGTCACAAGAATTAGTCAGCTTTTTAGGAAAAAAATCGAGCCGAAAGTCTGTTAAGAAGCTTACCTCTACCAGCCCCTTCGAGTGTTAATCCACGTATGAGTAAAACGACGAGAAGAAAGTACGGGAACATTGCACAAAAATAGACAAACTGAAAAGAAAAAATCGAAAAAAAANAAAAAAAATGGAAGTTGATCGAAAACGTTGGCACGTTCAGTTTGGGTTCCTGAAACAGTGGAAGCCTACCGACCTAGCTATCACAGGACTAGAGAGTATCACTCGATTCGAACCAATCATGGGAAAGAAATGTGCAGAGGGGTACCTTTCTAGCCTGAGTAATCCCCTTCCATAGAGCGAAATAGACGATAATCCAGGCAAGGAGCATAATGAGGAACAATTCCCACTGTATGCTTCCAAATTCTTCAATGGATGACGTCTGTTGGAGTACGCGATTTCTGAACATTTACATAATTTACAGTACAAGTAATCTTCGGCGTAATTAATCGACAGTATTTCCACTTACTCCCAAAACTGCTCCACAGATGTCTGGGTCATGAGACCCATACTGGAAAGATTTCGTGCGAGTTTTGCTAACACGGCCGGACTCTCCTTTCCAGTAACGCATGTGTGGTCGTTCCTATTTCAAGAAAAAAGCCAGATGAAAAAGTAGAGAGCGAAATGGCTTAACTGGAATAGCTCCTACCAATGATTATCGCACGTTTCCCATGGTAAGACACTGTTGAACGATGAAATCATATAAAATATAGCCCAACTAACGATTACACAGAAATATGCGATGCACATAAACGCTATCACCACATTTCCGATGCCGACTCCTGGAAAGCGTTCAATAATCGAAATTACGTACTTGTAATTCTGAAAGGTGAGAAGTAAATCTGTGTATCGAAGATTATATATATATATATATANGATGCCTTTGTGTGATGTGGATTTAATGAAATATAAATGAAGAAAGAAAAAGCTTGAGTAGAGAAGGGAAAAAACTCTAAAGAATTACTTCGAAAGAAAGAACAGAACTCCAAGCTCGGGACATAGTCAAGTAAACATCACTAAATATCTGTACATAATTGGAATCGAAGTGAGTTCATTTTGCCTTTTCCTAGGTGGATTTTGTGGACCCTCAGGTGCGTAAGTGGGGAAAAATTTACAAAATGAAATTCTCAAAACCCAGAACCGATTTCTGACCTAAACTCTTGACCGCTTTGCCAGCGTGAACACTATGTATTACACAAGGACCACTGCCTTTTATCTCGATTAACTCAAAAGTCACCAGCTTCATAGTAACAGGGATAATAACAGAGTGCAAACCGCTAGTAACTATGTACTTGAGATTTACTACAACAGCAAGAGTGAAAGCAGCTTCTGGAACTTTTCCTACCTTTGAAAATTGGGCACATCCGCCACATTTCCATAGCACCTCGTTGAAGGTACTGACCAATGGTTACTTCCATGATAAAAATTGGTACGGCAGCTAGACAGAAGAATATCGCATATACAACGAGGAATGATCCACCTCCATTCTTGAAGCATAAGTATGGAAAACGCCAGACATTGCCTGAATAGAAATGCATTTTTACAAGAAAACTTCTCTCAAAAAATTTAAATCAACTTCCAAGGAGTACGGAAAGCGTTCGCCTCAAGCTGTGAATTATAAAGACAATCCTGAGAAAACGGTATCAAACACAGTTTCCTAGATGACCTCTTTTTATTTCAGTTATTCATATTGGCAAGCATCGACAAGTTCGGTTTTGTGGCACAAACTTACCAAGTCCAACAGCGTAGGCGATCATGCTCATCAGAAAATCGAACTTTCCCGACCATTGTCCTCGATCTGGCTCTTCTTCACCTAGAAAAAAGAGGTTGGAGAGAGAAATAAATGAATTGTCGCTAATTTTAGAGGAAAAAATAGTAGCATATAGACGTTATTAGGGCATACCGAATAAGCAATTCGGTTACAATGATCAAGCAATCATTTCTGTTGTTGATAGTGTTTTTGTTTACTTTCAGAATCAGTGCTATCTACTGAATGGATATCTTAACAGGCTTTTCAGGATCACGGATAAGTGTTGAGGTTATTTAAGGCTTAGTTATGGTAAAGTTGCAGTCATGGGAAGGCGCTAACCATTACCATTTCTGGAGTCTGCGCCCGTTTTATACTCCCACTCAGAATCGTACTGGCAGCTTAAATGTCTATGTGGTCCGCACACTACTGCGGTCAGCTGATTTACAAGTTAGTGCTTTACATCTCCAGACGAATCTGGTCCCAATTAACCCAACCCAGGTGATGGCCTGGGAGGATATTGATTACTAATCCGGGATTCGATCCTCAGGACATGCAATGATAGAGCCGCTTGCCACTACTCTTCGCTCATACGCAAATAAATAAATAAGCAAATAAATAAATGATACTCAATATAGATTGTCTTTCTGAATCGATATACTTTGTATTCCTCATTATTCGATGCTTCCACTAGGTTTTTATTTGGGATTTCATTAGTGTTACAATTTTATTGCTCTACTTATTCCTATGTTATGAAGTGTAATGTGGAAAAATTCCTTACGCGATGTTGGTGGCAGGGTTTCCTCCGTTGGAAGCGGCTCATGGCCTTCGCGGCCCATGGCTAAAAAATATAAAGATTTTCGGGATATGGGAAAATTTTTTGAACTAACCATTCGGTACTGTAACGATGGAACATCAAACGACGGTACGAAACTTTAAGAGCTTTGACAATCATACATATGTAATATGGGAATCTATCAATGTCATGCATGTAAGCTGAAGCTTCAAACGAAGATATTTATACACAGCAATCCATATCCATTCCATAAACCTTTTTTATTACTTGAGTGAAAACGAAATATTACCAACATTAATCGCCTTTTCTGCAAAAAGAGGATTTTATGGGTTGTAATAAAAAGCATTGACTAGTAGGTGCTTCGCTCAACTTTTGATGTGTTCACTCGGAGATGTGCACTAACCACATATGATGCAAATTCACATGGGGGATCCCTACTCAGTTGATTATTTTTCGTTCTTTTCCCAAGAGAATCCCTATTCATTTGGTTACTTTTCGTTGTTTTCCCGAGGGAATCTCTACTAAGTTGGTCTCTTTTCGTTCTTCTCTCATGGAAATCCCCACTCAGTTGGTTACTCTTCGTTCTTTTCTCAAGGGAATCTCTACTCAGTTGATTATTTTTCGCTTTTTTCACATGGGAATCCCCACTCAGTTGCTTACTTTCGTTCTTCTGCCAAAGGAATCCTTACTCAGTTGATCATTTTTCGCTCTTCTACCAACGGAATCCCTTTCGGTTACTTTTCGCTCTTTTCTCTAGGGGATCCCTACTCAGTTGATTATTTTTCGTTTTTTTTTTCCAAAGGAGTCCCTCCTCAGTCGGTTACCTTTCGTTCTTTTTTCATGGGAATCCCCACTCAGTTGACTATTTTTCGTTTTTTTTTATTATGAAACTCTGACCTTTATTACAGATCTGATTACTCGTAATCATAACAACAGTAGTTGAAGTTTAGTGAAATCATGTTAGACAACGGATCAGTCGAGACTAAAAACCCATGCGCTTTTGTCTGTCGACCACAGAGTCAGGGCATCAGTCCTCTATTAAAAACTGATAAGATCTGGCTTCATCGGGATGCGCCACAAGAGGGGTTTCAATTTAGGATCATAAAACTATTCATTTTTGCAACTGGTCCCCATTTGGCTCTATAAAGGGACGATGTGAGGGCTTCTGAAGAATAGCAAGAGTTCTTGCCATTACCCCTTACCCTGCTCCTCTGTTGGCAATGTCTCCCCACTGATTTCTTACAGCAAATAGTAACGTGTAAGGATTGGGGGATCAAGCAAAAGAGTGTGATCTAATTAAAATGGGAGCCTTCTTGGGGAAAAGAAACAGCCCGAAACAAATTAAGACACTCGGCAAGGTTTGCCCAGAAGTTTCTTGCACCAGATAGTGAATGTAGTTGAGATGGAAGAAGTGTTATTAATCGAAAATGGAAATCTTTTCAGGGAAAAAGGAACAAAGGAACAGAACAGATTCAGACAGTTGGCAAAGCTCACTCAAGAGCTTCTTGCACCAGATAGTAAGTGTAGTTGAGATGGGAAACCGTAATGGAATACAAGTCAAAGTATCTGCCCCAATGCAATTAGCAACGAGTGCAGAAACTCGAAACTCGAATTTCCGAACAAACGATATCGTTCAATTCAACGGGCTCCATTAACAAATCCGGTTTTCACGCATCAGAATTGTTTCGTTGTGATTTGCCGTCCACCGTTACTCAAACAGATCTTCCACCTACCGTAATCGCTACAGAAAACATTTTGCACTCCAGTTCATCAATTAGTGCGACCAACAGAAAGAGTGGCTAACGCTATATAGTAAAACAAACACTGGGTAGCAGTAAAGTTGAAAGCAAAGGTTGGAATCTGTTGCCCGGCCAAGTGGAGTGATATGAAAAGACTAGACATTTGCATGAACAAGACATTCGCTGCAAGAAGAAGAGGACAGACTTGGGAGTTTCATGGCACCCTCTCCATTCAGTAGAATAGTAAGCGATGTACCAGAGAAAATGCTTTGCAATTGTATAAAACTTTGCGCACAGAGGTTCTATGTTCATGGATAGCTCTACCCGCCGAGGCTTCCCCGATTTTCTTAGATGACCACAACCTCTAGGGCGTAAATCAGTCATTAACCATATTCTTGCGTCAGCAGATAGACACTCTTATTTCTGAGCGGATCACTTTATAGGACCATCCTACAATCTTAGAATAGAACAGAATGTAATTCAATTCATGATACCACTATGTGAAATGCTGATGAAATTCTTACCACGTTCCTGCAATATTCAAGTACCAGTCG